CATTCTTATTTCATGAATTAAGAATTTAAATGATAATAAACGCGTTAATGTCTCCCCCTCATTTTTACCACAATGATCAATGGCAACTGCCATAAAGACACATTTTATCATTTTTTATGATATTTAAAATGTTATTTAATTTAAAATATTCAAGATCAAAAGTCCATATTTTACAAAACAGGAACATTTGCAAACACGGACCTCTTAAAATAAATAAAATCCATGAAGAAATTCCACGAACTTTTGGTCACACCCGCCGTATGTTTAAATTTTAAGGAAAAATTTTTCGTCAATTCAGTGTATAAATAATGGACTAACAATTAGTATATATGTAATATGTACGCTAAAGTATTGTTCATTCTTAATTACTGTAAACAAAAATATCTTAATATTTAAGGAATTGATTTTTTTTAACTTTATACTGTAAAATTGTAATTATGTATATACATGTATCATAACATATAGAAAAAAAAATTTTTAATTCAATTTCAGTGTAGACAAAGAGACAATTTTTTTCCTCCAAAAATGGATTCAAACTGAGTAAATTTTAAAATTAACGTCAAGCGGTGTATATACGCTTTTTGACGTAGCTCATTGTGACGTAACCAAGTTATGTGATACAATATAAATTAAATCTTTTATCCAATCAAATGACGTGTTACAACTAAAATTAAATTATATCGAAATATACCAATAGATGTCTAGTAAACAGTTTAGATATGAGCTAAAGCGAAATTATTCGGGGAAAAGATATATGATAGAGTTAATTGATTGTAGCAATTCATTACTTGTATAATCAATATAATTTTTGTAGAAACAATTCATTTCCATTAGTTAATTAGAGGTTTATTCCTTCCCCCAGCCTCCACTAAAATCTGTACCCCCGAGTGCCACACACTTAAATTGAAGTCTGTCCCCTTTATTTTAGGTGGAATTCTCGGAAACATTAGATTGTCTTGAGCCAAATCATATCTAGAAATCCCTCACATAAGTCAAATGAAGCTGAGTGATATATTAATGCACCAATGTTCACAAAGAAACGGTCAAATTTGTGTTCTCGCATGCTCTTGCCAGATATTGCAGAAGTGTTCATGTATTTCTAGGACGAGTCCCGAGCTGGGAAACGAGTAGCAGTAAGCTTGGATATCACTGTGTTTCGCCGTAAGTGAATTTAGGATTACTTTCATTCCAATCACTAGGAAAGCTAATCAGGTCAACGTACATTGCAAATTCCGCACCCCCGGATGTCACCATTCCACGCCCCCATATGTGAGGTTATGCTCGGTGAATTAATGACAAAACTTATGGCAAGTCTTTTGTCTTCATAAACCGTGTACAAATTATTACAAACTTCTACAAAGGAGTTTCTAATATATAAGTTTAACTTTACAGCCGTTCGTTTCTCGAATACGACTGAGTCAACCATTTTTTGTCACAAGTGATCTACCTTATAACGTCATTTCCACACTGTGACGTCACAAACACGGGGCAAAACGTTCCATTATATATTTTTTTTTATAGAACATGTGTATAACTCTATGTGTGCCAAATTTCCTTCTGATCTGAATTGCAGTTTTGTAAATATAGAGACAGTTCGCGAACTTTTTGATCACCCCTCGTATTTAACAACTGTTCGATAATAATACTAATTACTTTAAGCCACAATATAACACAATTCCTCTTTTACAGTGTGCATATTATTTGAAACATTTTGCAACTGTAATTCTTTTCTACTTTTTAAGATTATTATGTACCTCCATATTAAGAAGAGGTCTGGAAAAAAATTCTGTGCTAAAAATAGACCACGTGCTGCTATCCATGAACTGCTTTCATGGTTCTCTATACTCATGTTGAAGACAACAGTACCTTGTTTTAAAAGTGCAAAATTTAGACATTTTCTCAACAAATGATTGTCGAGAGAACATTAATGCACACTTTGCATATTTTTTGGATTTTTTTAAGGCTCTGTTGAATTCTGTAGCTGTGCAGTTCTAAGGGGCATATCAAAAACATTTTTCTGCAAAAGTCTAGATTATATATATACACAACATGCATTCGATTATGCATATTTATTGTATGTTTATCATAAGGCCTTGACGCAAGGAGCAACTGCCTACACCGACACTCAAGAGCAAATGCTCTTATCGCTGTGCCTTGTGGACGATCAATGAAGAACTTTGCCCATAGACAAAAATGTTAGATTTTCAGATTTTCAACAACAAAAAAACCAATCCCAAGTTCTTCTAAGTTACATTAATGAAAATGAGCCTTGTAAATAAAACCGATGTTGCAAGCCGCCAGAACCACCAATCTTTTACCACCTCCGATTAAGTGAAATGAAAAAATATATGGTTCACGTATTCTCTTCGATTTTTAAAACACAATTTTATAATCATACTTTAATCTTTTTTTGAGAAAGTGTTTAATGTTCCCCTAAAGTTTTGCGTAACATTTGACATGTTTAAGACAGTTCATTATATTAATGAAATTCTGCTGTCAATAGAGCGATCGGGGTTCCTTGTACGTAGGGAAAAGGTTGCTCTACGCCAAATAACTTTTAGAAAGAGATCCTTGATTGAGTTTTTAAACACACACTATAATGGACTAAAGGATAGGTTAATATAAGAATATCTGAAATTCCTAACTCCCTTTTGCGCCTTTAAAACAATACATGGGTGATTGAGACTTTTATTCATTGTATTTATGAAATATTCCATGATAAAATTTATTTATTTTGGATATAGAAATTGATTTTGACAGTTTAAATAAAAGTAAGCAGAATTAAGATTACGTAATTTATCGTAATCGATGATTATTTTGATACAACTGATTATCTTGAATTGAAAATTTCTCAAGTTTTCGTCCAAGAATTATTACTCTGAAAATCCAATGTACATTGAACAAAAAATGATACAAATGTCAACTACGGCTGTTCTGTTGTCGATAATTAAAAAAATATGAGCTGCAACTTCGATGTCGGAATTTTTTGTTGCAAAATTGTAAATATCTATTTTAATGACAGAAAAAAATAACGTTAATAAACTTCTGATGTTCACATTTGCCATGGAAGAACTATTTATTAGCTTTGATTGAATCAAAATTACATTATTGTCGTCCTGTACAATAATGATTTCTTATATAAAACTGTATATTTGATTGTATATAGAAGTCTTTCTTCTGCTTTATTTTAGTCTAATTGATCATAAAGGTTTAAGTTATATACATGTTCATCATAAGAACACATTTTCACAGCAAAATAAAATTTTCAAAAATGCAGCTCATATATTGCTGTAAAAAATCGACTTTTCTATTGCATTATAGAAAGAAAAGGTGTTGAAATATATGGCGATAATGGATATAATTCAACAATTACATTCACTAAACAATACACCAATTCAAAAATTACTTTAAATTTGAGTATTTTCAAATTAACAAGTCCTGTTCCTCGACTGTTGATAGTTGTACTTGCGAAATGTTGACAGGGAATCTGAAAGGATTTACCATTGCAATCTTTTGTTTGTCCATACGATATCGTAGGTGCACCAGTCAGCGATGCAAAGGTGTAGTCTATTCCATTAACTTCCAAAGTCTGTGTAGAAAAAAGTTTACTTTCATTTCTTCTTGTATTTTTTAAATCCCATTCGTTATCAAGTGATTTGATAGGCGTTTTTTGCCAAAGTTGTTGACTTATACACTGTATAGCTCAAAGTATATATATCGCTCATTAAATTACTTTACTTCTTTATTTCAAAGAAAATAATTACTGTTATATCAAATATTCCTTAAACAATGAAGAAAATTTTATTAAAAAATAGCTTTAAAATTTCAAAGAATCAAATCACGAATTTGTGAAATGACAACATTCGACAGTTATCATATGCATGAATCATTTTTTTTTTATAAAAAAGAAGTTACTAGTATTTACTATAGTATACGAACTTGAATTTGTATTCCAACTTTCAGGAAAACTGCCCTTTTTAAAGGTTCTGTGTAACTCGACTGACACTGCTGCCACATAATTGGCCAGTTCGATTGATCGTGTTCAATAAAGGAATTCGTGCTCCCCAAAGTTATGTATTCAGTTGGATGAGATGCCATGTTGTAACAAAATATCTTCACTCTTTTTCTGTTCGTTGCTTGAGGATAAATCCAGTACTCGCCATCCGTCGTTATTCCTGAGTAGGTGACGACATCTTTGCAAGATTCTGGCACTATGTAATGAAAATAAAACATGGATAACAAAGATTTTTTTATGTTAATTTTAGCGTGAAATTATTTTAATATTTAGATTCAAATATTTCTTCACTGCTTGTCTTTGAACATTAGTACGAGTTTTAGTAGTAATGTAAATTTTAATTAAAAAGGCAAGGGCTGTTAAAGTGATCAACTCACACTTTATACTGACTAATGCCTGAAAATAGCATTGGTTATAAAACATATAATTTTCTCAACTTTGAAATTCGAATTCATGACGTTGCTTACACTCTGGTGAAGGAAATGAATCAGAGCCCTATTTATATAAGAATTTGAATGAGCATGGTTGCAGCTTTGTTGATTTTGTTTTGTTATCGTATATGGTGTATACTGTATTATTTCTGTGCAAATAGTGTCATGAAATGATTATATAGGCAATCTTTTTGAGTTCAAACCAAATGCGAGGAAACGTATCATTTATAAGGTAGAAAAACGCACTTAGTACTGTTTTCCAAACCAAATCCTCTTTGTTATATAAAACCATCAACAACATTCCCATAATTTTTCCCTACATAATTGACAAAGTTTAATTTATTCTTTAAATGTAATCGAATTTTTACAGTTTTCAATTTTTTTGTCTTCCATTTCATATTTTCTTTTCAGTTGAAACATTCCCGTTTATCACGAAATACAGCAAATCACCTTTGTCATTTATTCATTTCTGCGTCATAGTTCATTGTTTAAAATTAAAATAGTGAATTTGAACTTTTTATTTCTGATGAAGGTCATAGTTCTCTTTTACTTACCCCATCCGGTCCTTGTTCTATCCAGAAAATAATACTTCACGATGTCATCTCCACTTTCATCTTCCTCGATGTATATGACCTGAAACAGCTTACAAGACTTGTTTGTAGAGTTATACAGTAAGGACACGCAATTCTATTCATTAACATCAAATTACGAAATAGGGGCAAAGTTTTCAATAGCTTGCTGGACAGCTCAACAGGGTATAGAATTTGGTCTAACAAGTATCACATTAGGTTTGAATCTAGGTCATGAGGTTACTCAGGTGTATCAGTAGTTTTTACAGGTAAATGTGAGTTGATTTCAATGTTGTATGAAGCCACCTGTATCTGCCCATGTGTTCTGCTGTAAATAGCAAAAAAAAAAAAAATCAGTAGAATTTTATGCCAACTCTTTCAGTAATGCAAAAATCTTCTGCATACTATTCTTTCTACTTGCTTTTAAGTCTTGTTACTTCCGAAAAAACACCTATTATAATCTATTTTCATGACCTGCAAGCCATTCCAAATTAGAGGGTAATATGTGCTTTAGATTAAACTGTTTAACATTGCTAAATCTCGCATGCGAATATTTCCAAAACTATGAATACACAGCTAACCCAAAGTTGCAAATTTGAAGTGTTGGGGCTCATTTTATGAAGGAACTTAGTTCTATACTCTCATCACTGAGTAACTAATTGCTTTATATAATTATCTTACTAATTTTTTCATATAAAGTATAAAATAACTCTTTAATTAAACAATGTCAAAAATAAAATTAAATGGCAAAAGCACCTAATTTAAACAGATTTTCAGAGAGTTAGTGAATAAAGAAATTTGCTTGGTTTGAGATGATGATTAATAAATTCAATATGATTATTATTATATGAAAAAATTGCAATTAAAGAAGAATAATGCATTTATTCACAGCAGAACACATTGGCACATGCAAGTGGCTTCATACAACATTGAAATCAACTCACAATTACCTGTAAAATCTAATGATACACCTGAGTAACCTTGTGACCTAGACCCAAATCTAAGGTTATACTTGTTAGACCAAACTGAATACCCTTTTGAGCTGTCCAGCAAGCTATTGAGAACTTTACCGCTATTTCGTAATTCGCTGTAAACTCTCAAGACCACACCGTACCAGCGGTTGATTAATTCCAGACCAAATTGGTAAAGAGGGTTCAATGAGGTCAAGTCTCGTTTTCCCCAATGGTAATGAAATTTCACCTGAAAAAGAGACATTAACTTGTTTACCTAAAAAATTAAATGATATATCGGTGTCCTTGTTTAAATGAATGGTTGTACTTGAAAGTACTTGGGACTTACTTGATGCCCAAACTTAGTTGTTCTAAGCATGGCCTTCCCTGTCTTTATCACTTAAACTTTCTACATAGAAGTATTGACACTCGAACAAATATAAATCAATCGCAGTTTTGATATTAAAATTCAAAGAGATTTCCTTTGATGCACACTTTTTTCGAGCTTAAAACTGCAGATATTTGATTTTCATTCTGTCTTTTTCGATAGAGGCATCTTAAATACTGACATTTGCAAAATTTGGTGTCAACAATACGTTCGTCTGCATTTTACCTCATTTAAACCCAAGCTTAATCTCAAGCTATATATTTGACTTATCGTGTACAAGTCATGTAATTTTTTTTGACAGTTCATTATCTCGAGAAGCAGGGAAGCGTTTTGTCATTTAATTGTCTTTTGCAGAAAAAGTACTCAATATGTTTGCTGTGATTAATGTGCACAAGTAAACCTTATTTATGACGTTTGTCATATTGTGATACTTGTATCATTCTTTGATAGTGGAATGTGGTAATCTGTACTTCTTTCATGTTTTTATAATGCTTCATAACTTGTGCTTATTAGAAAAAGACAATTTCAAAATATTAGTTACGGATGAAACCTATTTCAAACAACTCATGAGATTCAACATGAAAATCTATGTTAACATATATTTAATTTTAAAAAAGGAGTCATTCTTTCGACATTTTTCTCGATATCAGAAGTTTTTAAAAAGAGGGAAAATTTAAACTCTGGTCTCGTACATTGCTTGAAATAGGATTAAAAACAAATATTCAAAATTGTCATACAAATTTCTTATACATTTGTTTAAAATATTAGATAAATGGTGACACGTGTTGTAAATATTGATATGCATGACTCACCAGTGTCAGATGCATAGAAAAAGTAATTTTTAAGTTAGTTTTTTTAAAAGGTTAATGATACGAGTATAACAATTACGAATATGAATAGATATGAAGAACAACGTCCGATTCTTTAAATATTTTTGGTCATGCTCTTTGGTAAATTATATTTTTGTGGCATTACATCAGGTCAAGCATCCTTGTGTGATACATGTATAAACCAATCTTCTTTATAGTTGTTATCAATCTTTTTTTTTTTTGGGGGGGGGGGGGTGGGGTTGGGGGGGATTACATTTTGACGTGCACAAGAAATGCATAAACACATTTTAATCTAACAAAATATTAGTACCTAAGCCTTACTTTTAATTACCAGGAAAAAAAGATGGTTAGAAATTGACAGTTTTTGTAATCTTATCTTAGAACTTGGATGAAAATGCTTACAAATTGCAATATCACAATCATGATGTTTTGGATTTTGCTGATTGAAAGAAAAAATATTATACATGTCTTCATGGACCTGATGTGATTCAAATAAAAAAACATTGATTCAGTGTTTCGCGTTTGAACAAAACATTGGTTTTTAGTTATAGGAAGGAACGTCAGCATAGAGAATGACTTTTTACAGAAAAAAAAACACAACAGCACTAAAGAACTTCAGAGGGAAAGCTGTTTTTATCTAATTGGAACTCTCCAACACCTGAGTCTTATTTAAGAATTGTTTTATTTTTGGCAATACGTCATCTTCATTGTCCGAGAACACTATTTAAAAGCTCTCGCCATGTCTTTCAGTGCTGCAAGCCACGCATGAAACATGGGGGATGGTCAAACACGTTTGATATTTTTGACACTCAGTTTTTGTCTTACTTCTTTAGAAGCTAGCCCTCCAAACAGAGAAAAGACAGATTTGTCACTGACAAAGTTTCGTCAAAAGTCACAAACTTCTCAAAGCATCCCTGATCGAAAAGAGGAAACGCTGCGGTATGTACTTATTTAATTCTGTGTTCGAGAGGGGGTATTCAGTTTCCCATTTGTAGCTTTTAAAACATATATTTGTATAATAAAAAAAATTTAGTTTAATGATATGAAAATAATTAAGAAAGTAATTATTTCCACATTTTTTTCCCAAGACACTACTTATATGCATTCTACTTAAAAGTGTGTTTTGAATAACTTATTTTGTATAGAGACAATGACAATCATTATGTACTGCTAAATAATGTCTGTAAAATCAATCACGAAAGAAGGATATGGAGATAACGAACAGTATTCAGTCTCAAAGTCCATAAAACAAAACAAAATAAGAGCAGAGCAAACACGGACCCCCGAAACATCAGAGGTGGGATCAGGTGCCATGGAGGAGTGAGCATCCCCTGCCGACCGGTCACACCCGCCGTGTGCCCCTTGTCATGATCAGGAAATAACGGAAAAAATCCGTCGTCAATTCAGTGTATAAATAATGGACTAACAATTGGTATGAAAAACGTCAGTCAGCATTTGACTTAATGATAAATTGTTTTTGCTGACAAGGTCATTGTATCGACCAAAGACCTTACGAAATGATGACTTTAAACTAGACTGCTGATATTCTTGTTTCATCAACTTGCTGTCAATAATTTACCTCGTTTTAGAAATTGTTCATACGTAGAGCATGCTCTTGCGTATCGATTGATTGATTGATTGTATATTGTTTAACGTCCCTCTCGAGAATTTTTCACTCATATGGAGACGTCACCGTATGCCGGTGAAGGGCTTCAAATTTTGACCTTTACTCGGCACTCAGGGCCATTGAGCATTGAGGGATCTTTATCGTGCCAACGCCTGCCGCTGACACGGGGCCTCGGTTTTTAAGGTCTCATCCGAAGGACCCGCAACTTTCACTTCAAAGTGCCGAGCGCATGGCGAAGGAACAGTCGCTACCTATTTTAACGACTAGGTCAGTCGCGGCCGAGATACGAACTCACGACCTCCCGATCACGGAGCGAGCGCTCTACCGACTGAGCTACCGTGAACGGTTCTTGCGTATCGAATCAACTGAGATATATATACTCCGTAAGCAGGTGATGAAGGTATACTGCTGCATAAGTAAGGGAAGTTGACGATAGAAAAGTTAAAGTCATCATGTTTATCATATAGCTTGGTTGTTAGATTTCCATTTGTGTCTTTTTCAAGTAATATATCCAACTATGAAACAGAAGTGTCGGACTCTGTGGTATCTTTTATCTCAAGCTCACCAGGATATATCGTATCGACGTAGGAATGGAAATTACCATTATTAATTGACAATACGTCGTCGATATATCTAAATGTTGAGTTGAAGGCCACAGCAAGTGTTTTTTCTTCTTTTCACGCATAAGATTTTGCATAAATTCTGCTTCATATGAATATAAAAATAAATCTGCTAATAACGGAGCGCAATTTGTACCCATGGGAATTCCAATAGATTGTTGGAATACCTGGTCTCCAAAAACCACATAGATATTGTCAATCAGAAACTCAAGCATCTTCTTGATGCCAACTTCAGAGTACTTATGTGTGCAATCAGAATCTGTTTTAACAAAATAATTTTGCAAATGACCAAGGACGAGGTAAGTAAATTTACGAGTTCCATTTTCATTGAAGAAGCAGCTGTCAATGAAACCAAAAAGCCTGAATTTTAATTTGTCGTGGGGAATTGTTGTGTATAAAGTTGAAAAGTCGTAAATTTTTAAGCTGTTGATTTTTGTAAAGTCTTGTGAATTCAAATTTTCCAAAAGTTCTTTAGAATTTTTTAGTATCCACATCTGATTCACACCACTTCTTGAATATATAGTTGTACAGTACTCTTGAAGTTTTTCTTCACTACTGTCAATATCTTAGTGAGGAGTAACGAAAGAGGTTTGGTTGAAAATTTACTGGAACTGCAATGTATCTTTCTTTGTAAGGATTCTTATGAAGTTTCGGGATCCAATATTAAAAGTATTCAAAACTGACAGGTGATAATAATGTTTTCGGAATTTTCACATATTTCAAATTTATTGTAATGAAATAACGAACACTAATCAAGCTCAAATGACCAATAAAACGATAAATCGGGTGCAGATCAAACATAGGCCATTGAAAATAATAGAGGTTGGATCAGGTGACTTGAATGAGTAAGCATCCCCGGTCAACAGACAAAGGAGATTTGAAATTTCAAACTCGACACGATAGCAATTTATCAATATTCCCCAAAATGAAAGAGCTCGAGACTTTTGGATTTGTTTTGAAGAATCTTAAAAAGCTCTGGGGGCCTTAAAACTTACACATCTGTTTCATACTTGGATATTTTACTTGAAAAAAACGTTAATGGTAATCTAACAACCAAGCCATATGATAAACGTAATGACTTCAACGTTTCTATCGTCAACTTCCCTTACTTATCCAGCAATATGACTTCATCACCTGCATTTGGAGTATATATATCTCAGTTGATAACGAGGTAAATTATTGACAGCAAGTTGATGAAACAAGAATATCAGCAGTCTCCTTTAAAGTCATCATTTCGTAAGTTCTATGGTCAATACAATGACCCTGTCAGCAAATACAATTTATCATTGAGTCAAATGCTGACTGACGTTTTTCATTCTAACTGTAAGTCCATTTTTTATATACTGAATTGACGACTGATTTTTCCGTTGTTTCCCGATCATGACAAGGGGCACACGGTGGGTGTGACCGGTCGGCAGGGTATGCTCACTTCTCCTTGGCACCTGATCCCACCTCTGATGTTTCGGAGGGCCGTGTTTGCTCTGCTCCTATTTTGTATTGTTTTATGGACTTTGATATTGTCCATAAATGAATGACTGTTCGTTATCTCTATATCCTTCTTAGACGAGCTCACTTTTGATCTCAATCTCACTTTTCCACTATATATTCCTTTCGAAAAAGTAAGACTGAGAACAAAAGTGAGCTTGTCTTAGTTCTATGGCCCCAGGCCTTCAGATCTTTCTCAGTAGACTATATATCCTCTATTGTATAGTACATATTGTTTTGACAAAATTTAGGGAGCTTGGATATAACAGATCCCTAGAAAAACGCATAAATGGGCGATGTACATGTCCAGACGGAGGACACATCTGTGCATGTGCAAGAGGAAGGCTGTCTCCAGACGACTTGATTCCGACAAACGGACAAAATGAAATACCTGATGTACCGGTTGGAATACACCCGCTTTTTGCTAGCATTTTCCAAGAACAGGAAGAACAGGCAGAAGGTCGTACATGGGTAGTAAGAAAATCACCTATTACACAGGAGCAGGGATCAGAACAGACAAGTGATAAGAGGTTGGTGCTCTCAAGGCAGTAAGGAATCCTCATGTAAATATTAAACCTCAAACGAATGGAACCTAGGTGGTGGAAAACTACTGTTGGTACCAAATTTTAAAAATTTTCCATACAAAAAAACAAGTGCTATCTGGATCCAAATTAACTAGTTGTGTACAGGACTAGCTATGACTAAGCCTAGCTTGATCCTCATACTTCTTTTAATTTGTGTAATATGAAAAAAATAGAAATCTGTTAACAGGAATAAGAGTACACATATTGTTAGCTGAGTAATAATGTACACCATGGCCCAGGAACGCCCAACTCCATAGCCCGATATTCAAATAAATACAGACCGAAACAAACTTGACACCTGTTTTGTCCAGCCTCTGCCTACTCGCTAAGAAAGAATACAGTCTAACGATAACCTTCTTAATCCTATAGAAATAAATTGTCTTCAAAGCTGTTTGCTTTACTTGTAAATTCATTCATGTGTAACAAAACGTCAAAATGTAACATTCTAGTTAAGCGCCCGTACGCAAGTGTAATTCACATTTGTATGCCCCCTTCGAAGAAGGGAGGGCAAATTGCTTTGCTGCTATCTGTCGGTCGGTCTATCTGTCTGTCGGCCTGTCCACCATCAGTTTCAGTTCATTTTATTCGCAGTGGCTTCAGATATTGAAATGAAATTTGGTTAACAAATTTATCAGAAGAGTATCTAAGTCAAGTTATTTTTGGGTACGATCGGGCCATTTTGGACAGAGTTATAACATTCCAATTATTAGCAATCTCCGTCTCTCTCTTCATTTTTTTGCAGAGGTTGCACATATTGAAATTCAGTTTAGTACTTTTGACGTAGAAAAAATCCAAGTATTCGGGGGAGGGGGCATAAGTGTTTTACAAACATCTCTTGTTTAATAAAAGGATGAATATGTTATGTCATGTTTTATACAAATTAATTTATGTACAAGTTTATATCATGTTGATGTCAAATACAGCTTTGTAGCAATTCCTTGGTGTTAATTTATTTTTATGAACACCCAATTCGCCACAACCTTTTTTCAAAAGCTCATAACAACCACCTCAGAACACTTTCCTATGTGCTGACAGTTTTGTACCCATAAAGTAAACATGTTGTTTAGATATTGTTGTTATAATATTCAACCTTCATTTAAACCTTTAATTGTCAAAAATAACAGTGCAGCATGAGAATTTGAGGAAAACAAGGAAAAAAGCATTTTGGTATTTTTGTTCTGATGCAGTAGGGACATTTAATTATTATTTAATCCAGGAAAATATAGATACAGGTATTGGTAATATCATTGCATTATCAGTAGTGCCTCACATGCTTGTAATGTACATACTTATACCCTGGACAACGTATTTTGATAAATAAAATAGACGATTCATCAGGTCTGCTCTTAATCCTCCGAATGAAACACACGCCTTTATCACTGACAGATGATCGCTGTAGCTTCTGCAGCAGAGACTGAAAATTAATTCATAAATATATTAATGGTATTTTTTCACTCATTAATTTGAATCTTATATTCCTGAAATAGTTCTGTTTATCTTTGTCATTGCTCCAACTACATTAAAGTACAATTAAAGGAACCTAAGCTGTGAGTCACTGTTATGACATTTTTGTTGATAAAGATAAAATTGAGGGAGAAAAACTTAATTACACTCATTTTATGAAAAAAAATATCATACTGAACTCCTTTGAATCTTGAAGTTTAACATATCCCGATGACGGTCCACATATACCACAGAACCCCAAACAACCAAAGGAAATCTCAGCACCATCCGTCGAACGTTGCAAATCTTTGATCCCTGTGTTCCAACCACTAATTAAACCCCATGTTACCTACGTATGATATAATGAAAAGAAACATGTGTTTCGGAAAAGAGCTTCAAACAAATCTTGAACCAGGCTACTAAAAGTTTATTCGATATGAAAATTGATTGGTGAAAGGGTGATTCAAAAAGGTTTCATCATTAATTGTATACAGTAATGTATATACGAGGGGCATTTCAAAAGTTCTGGCAACTGTTTAATAAAAAATTAACTGTTTTACGGAGATTATGGAGTTTGATATCATTGGAAAGATCAGAAAAATGTATGCATATTGTGACGTCACGTTATAATTTTTATGACGTAATAACTCTAAAAATGACGTCAGAATATAGAATGTTTAGCATACTGACCATAAAAATGACGTAACAAAAGACACAATTTGATCAAATCAAAATTTTCAAGACAACTTTTGCTCATTACTCGGAGGCAAGCTAACGGACGCAAATGCCAGTTGGTGGAATGTTTACATAGACTACAATCTGTCATACGGTATTCTATTTCGGAGATCTTCTTTCCTAAAATGGTTTTAGCGAGTGTCAAACTTAGCATGTTTTTATCGAATCTCGCTCAAACTTTTGCGTATAACTGTGGTAATTTGACAATCAAAGAAAAACAGGCCATCGTGTTACAAAATTTGATGGCATAAACCACTGCAAAGTTAAGTTTAGTGTGCCCCATATTTTTTCGTAAAATCCAAAATGGCGGCATCGCAGTTGTAGCCCCACCGTACCTCCACATGATCGCAAATTTTAATGCATGGAAAATAAATAAGATTTTACATGTCTGTTTAATTTATATTTATTTTTTGGATTCAAAAGTCAAAAGCAGTGGTCTATGAAAAAAATACGTACGGAATCAAGAAAAAATAAATTCGTAAACGGGAGTGTATATTGGGTAAAAACTGCATTAATATACTTTAGTTTGATACAGGACATGTTATATTTCAAACAATGGAGAGCTACATAAAAAACCGAAAATCCAGCCGTATCATGTTAATGAAAATCTTTAATGAATGTCCATGATAGCATAACCGGACATAAATCGTGCTCTTAAACAAACCATACAATGAATAATAGCATTGCTAATAAACAGTATCATAGTCCTACTCTACTTCTTTGCAAATTAAAATTTTCTTTGAAATATTTTCTCAAATAAGTCTTTGGCAGCACTTTTACGATCGTGTCATGTGGATAAAAAACGTGACTTTTCAGTCTAAACATTCTATATTCTGTCATTTTCGGAGTTATTACGTCATCAAAATCGCAAAGTGACATTACAATATGTGTATATTTTTCTGATCTTTCCATGAAGGTAAAACGGTTAATTTTTTATTAAACAGTTGCCAGAACTTTTGAAATGCCCCTCGTAATAAGGCATTACTGAAGGATCGATGATTAACCCAGTGCCTCCAGTGTTGATGATCGCAGCTGAAAAGTATGGGCAGGGGTTTCGATAAATATCACCATTGCAGTCATGTATCTGACCATAGGGTAATGATTGCCCACCAATCAACACTGCAAAAGTGTAATCCGAATCTTGAACTGCCATGGTCTGTGAAATAAAAGGTGTTTGTTTTAAAATTGTGTAGCTTTCTCTGTGTACAGATTGATGAAGGATGAAGATGGGTCACAGTTTATAACATATAAGAGTTGCAAATTTCTGTAATTGAGATTTTTTTCAATTCAAATGAAAAATAGCATGACTGAAATTGTAGGTTCAAATATAAATGATACCCAAATGTTTACATTTGGATAAAATTTTGTAAATGAAACTCTTAAATTTTTTAATATGAGAGATTTGTTGAATATATCAAACAAAAATTTTCAATCTTGATTTTTCTTTACAAATAAAACATTATGACACATACAATGTACATGTAAATACCTGCACATTTATTGCGAATTTTCAAAAATCTGCCCTCTTCAAAGGAGGTATATAACCGGGTTGGCAAGGTACCCCATCAATTAACTGATTCGATCCGTTGTGGTGAGAAAAGGAGTTTTCATGATTCAGACTGATGTATTCCAAAGGGTCAGATCCCATGTTATGACAATATATCTTAACTCTTTGTCCTTCTGTTCCTATGGGATATATCCAGTATTCACCATCTGTTGTTATACCTGAACAATTGGCTAGATCCTTGCAAGACTTTGGAACTGAAAAGCAGAAAATAAAAGTCAAGATTTTCTGAATATTGTCGTTTACTAATTATTGAATGAAAAATTCACGTAACGGGTAGATGACAATTTATTGTCGTGTACTCATTATGTGGACTTCTAATTCAATAATTAGTAAACAAGAATATTTTCAAATATTTTCGAATAATTGTACGGCAAATGTTCATCTATATAAACTACACATTTAAAAGTGAAAACAAAATTCTGTCAAGCATATTCATTTTTTTCGCTAATAGGTATCCAGCAAAACCAAAATATTTCTTTCTTCATAGAAATATTTTTTTGGTTCTGAAACCCTATACTTTCAAAAATTGACAACATATGCTAAACAAAACGTTTATTTCAGAAATGAATTTGATTTTTGAAGATTCATGAGATTATGAACTACGACGCTTCAGACCGGTGTAACGACACAAAGTAACCCCGGTAGAACATTGACCAGGGGGTCATTTTTCTACATAGAAAAATGACTCAGGGTCGAAATTCTACGACAAGTAGGATCATTTTTCGACCGTAGAAAAAAATTCTAGACCAGGAATTCCATGACTCCACACGCGTTGAAAAATGACACCCATAGAAATTTGACCCCCTACTTTTTTATACAATAAAACCTTACATCTGTTTCTCCTGATATTTTTTATACTTAAAAATGTAAGTAGGCGGATTTTTTTTAAAATGTATTTTACTCATTTCCAACATATATTTGATTGCATATCTTAAAAGTAGCATCATAATCAATTTATCTTGTATGGTTTTTTTTTTTTTGGGGGGGGGGGGGGGGGGGGGGGGGGGCTTGCAGAATCCCAATGGATATATTACCGAGGTAATTCATTAAGGAGCATAAATTTATGAATGTATTTTAAATGTTTTATTCCAAAATGGCATAATATGTTTCTGGTAACCATTAACTTGTAGGGAGGCCCCCGAAATTATACTTTTAACCAATTTTTTTCCGGGTTAGGGTTAGATAGGGTTTCAGTTTTTATAAATCAAAAAACATAGCATAGAAGCCCTTAGTTCTTACATTTAAATTTACATATATGTATGCATTCTGCTTTAAAACACATATTTTGTTAACTACCTTATATAATGTATCATACTTTTCCCTGTATATTTGGGAAATACCATACACATCGAGAACATTCTTATAATGATATAAAAAAAAAATAACCCCCAAACGGACAAAAATTTACATCTGAGTGAATAATAGTTCACAGATTTCTATAAATTCATTAAAAGAAACTTCCTTTTTCTAAACGTTTTAGCTCTGACACCTGACAAATGGTTGCTGTAACATCCCCTTTCTTCTGAGATTTTCTTAGACACTAACTTTGCAAAAACAAATGGACTCTTAATCTATCATGCCATTACTTAATTTGATGTCTAAAGTCCTAGCTAGCACATACCTATGGCAAGCCCTTTTACTATTTATTCGTGAAATATAAAAATCTTTCAATAACATAGATATCTCTCTAGCATAGAGAAATATCTCTTAAGCTGATAGAGATATCTCTTTGACTCATAAAGAATAGAGATATCTTTATATCTTAGAGAGATATCTCTTTTTGTAAGATAGATATTTCTTTACTTAGAGATATTTCTTTATAAGCTAGAGATATCTCTTCAAGCAAGAGAAATATGTCTTTAATGGAGAGAGATATCTCTTAAAGTTAGAGAGATATCTCTTTAACAAAGTCAAAAGAGATATATCTTTTAATGGATATTGTTTTCATTTGATGGAGAGAAAACTGTTTGTATTATTAATGTTAGGTATAGTATAGCTTTGATTTTGTTATTCAAGCTTAAAAGCTTCAGAAATGAACACCTCATATCATAAGGCTGCTTGATATTATTGATATTACTGATATGCATCCGCCTAACAAGGATATTCCTGTTTTTTGCATCAAAAAATGACAAGGGGTCATTATTCTACTAGGTCTTTCTACAATGCACACGGAGAAAAACGACCACAAGTCCATAATTTCTTTAGAAAAGTGGGTCATTTTTCTACGTAGAATATGGATCAGGGGTCAAATTTCTACGTAGATATTCTACCGGGATCACTTTTCGTCGTTACAACGGCGTGAAGCGTTGTAGTTCATATACCTCATGAGTCTTCAAAAATTATATTCATTTCTTATTTTTACATTATTTTTCTGACGAGTCGCCACAGGTTACGCCATTCAACTGCCATTTTTAAAGCAAATTAAAACAGATTGCACTATATAGTTTGATGTTGAGTACGGTATTATGACGAAACACTGGAGATATTCATGCTCATCCACTGTAGTTCATGAGAAAATATACAATACTCTAATTTGCAAAGAATCTTAAGAAAAAATATTTGAAAATTAAAACATTTACAATTGTTTCTTCAAGGTGAAATAGTTCAAAGACAGTCCATTTTAGTAACTTGTTTGGGAGAGAAATAAATAATATTTTAAAGATAATCTAAAGTGGGTTTTTCCATCTGAAAATCCTGAAACAATGCAGTCTTTGTTAGTGAAACTACTATTGCAACAACATTTTAGAATAACTTAGTAATGATTACTCATGCTCGTCAAAATACGGCTAAATTATTGCCGACTCAGCGTTAAATAATAATCATCAATTACTCATCTGGTTATCCAACGTATAAATCAAAAACATTTCAAACACTGATTGCATCAAATCATGACTCTTCTTTGCTTTATACAACAATTCCCAAAGAAAATATAGAGCTGGAGAGAACTGCTTCTTTAATTTTTCTATTTTCATAGCTTGTGATTGGCAATAAACAGAAATTCATTCTGAATCTTCACACATGTATTCTAAAACTAATATTAAAAGCTGTTTTTCATTGCCATCATGTATGTAATCTTTAATGAGATAAGGCCTTCAAACGCTGGAATTCCCTTGACACTAAATGTGCTTCTTTCACCTGCTTCTATTCATATTCATTTGAAGATTGGTTGACTAAACAAGAGGCCCATGGGCCACATCGCTCACCTGAGCACTAAGGCTAGAAAAAAGTAGAAAATGGTTTTTATTGTAAAGTTTAAATCCAAAAGAAGTCTCATGACCAATCATGGATTTGCTATATTTTAGAAAAATGATTTTTAAAGAATTTTCCTATATATTTCTATGTAACACTTTGGTCAGCCATTTTGGCCCCGCCCTACCCAGGGGGGGGGATGTTATGATTTGAACAAACTTGAATCTACACTACCTGAGCATGCTTCCATTTAAATATGATGAATTATGGCTTTGCTATTCTTGAGAAGAAGATTTTTAAAGAATTTTCCTATATATTTCTATGTAAAACTTTGGTCGGCCATTTTGGCACCGCCCTACCCCCAGGGGTCATGATTTGAACACACATGATTTGAACAAACTTGAATCTACACTACCTGAGCATACTTCCATATAAATAAGATGAATTATGGCTTTGTCATTCCTGAGAAGATTTAAAAAGAATTTTACTATATATTTCTACGAAAACTTTGGTCAGCCATTTTGGCACCGCCCTACCCCGGGGGTCATGATTTAAACAAACTTGAAACTACACTACCTGAGCATGCTTCCATATAAATATGATGAATTATGGCTTTGTCATTCTTGTGAAGAAGATTTTTAAAGAATTTTCCTATATATTTCTATTAAATCTTTGGTCAGCCATTGTGGCCCCGCCCTACCCCCGGGGGTCATGATTTGAACAAACTTGAATCTACACTACCGAGCATGCTTCCACTTAAATATGACGAATTATGGCTTTGCTATTCTTGAGAAAAAATTGTTAAAGAATTTTCCTATATATTTCTATGTAAAACTTTGGTCGGCCATTTTGGCCCTGCCCTTCCCCAGGGGGTCATGATTTGAACAAATTTGAAACTACACTACCTGAGCATGCTTCCATATAAATATGATGAATTATGGCTTTGTCATTCTTGAGAAGAAGATTTTTAAAGTATTTTCCTATATATTTCTATGTAAAACTTTGGTCGGCCATTTTGGCCCCGCCCTACCCCAGGGGATCATGATTTGAACAAACTTGAATCTACACTGCCTGAGCATGCTTCCATATAAATATGATGAATTATAGCTTTGTCATTCTTGAGAAGAAGATTTTAAAAGAATTTTTCTATATATTTCTATGTAAAACTTTGGTCGGCCATTTTGGCCCCGCCCTTCCCCCGGGGGTCATGATTTGAACAAACTTGAAACTATACTATCTGGGCATGCTTCCATATAAATCTGATGAATTATGGCTTTGTCATTCTTGAGAAGAAGATTTTTAAAGAATTTTCCTATATATTTCTATGTTAAACTTTGGTCGGCCATTTTGGCCCCGCCCTACCCCAGGGGGTCATGATTTGAACAAACTTG